CGTACCCCATAGCCTCGGCCATAATATCCAGCCCCACTAACATTGTCTCTGTTTCGACGCCGACAAACTTTCCGGTCAGAACCTGGGCCTCTCCGGCCGCCGCTTGGGACGGCAAGCTGCTTGGAAGCATCCCCGTGGAAGAAAACCTCAAAAGCCCTCCTCGCCCCCTCGACCCCTTGGCCCCCCCCCACCTCTCCCCGTCCCCCCCCCAAGCCAGATCTCCCTCCCTGGAAGCCTTGTCTGCCAGGTCGCCGGGCAGCACGCTGAAGCGGTCCGTGATCCCGCGGTAGCCTCCGCCGCCGCCGCCGGCGACGGTCCGAAAGAAGGCGGCGGCGGCCGAGGCCTCTCGGACGCTGCCGGCCGTTGTTGGGCCTCTCGAGGCCTCCGGAGGCCCCCAGGGTGACCTGCGTGGACCTCTGGAGGCCTCCAGGGACTTCCAGGGGAGCAGCTCGGCCGCGGCGACAGTCGTCGCCGTCGCCGCTGGCGTTGCCGCCGCCGCCGCCGTCGTCGTCTTCGTCGACGTCGTCGCCGTCGTCGTCTTCGTCGTCGTCGTTGTCGCCGTCGTCGTCGTCGTCAATGTCGCGGTCCTCACCGTCGTCGCCGTCGTCGTCGCCGTCGTCACCCTCCTCCTGCACCTGCCCCTCAAGTCCCCCCCGTCCCCTGTCCCCTCCTCCGAGGGAGAGGGGGTGCAGGAGAACGGGGCGGACGGGGAGAGAGAGACCCTCCTCCTCCTCCTCCTCCTCCTCCTCCTCCTCCTCCTCCTCCTCCTCCTCCTCCTCCCGCGGGCGCTCTCTCCTCGTCCTCTGTTCCGCTCCGTTTCGCGGGCTTCTGCTAATCGTCCTCCCCTCGGCGTTCCTCTGGCCTCTCCTGTTGATCCTCCTCCTCCTCCTACCCGCCCTTCCGAGCCCTCCTCTGACTCATCCCCCCCCCTCGTCCTCCTAATGTTCCTCCCCTTCTCCTACATCTCCCCAACAGTTCGTTTTCTTTTTAGATAGATCCTCCCTGTCTCACCCCGAGGCTGGTCGAAAGCGCAGGCCGGAAGGTTCGCCTGAGACTTCCTTACCATTGATGATCCTGAAGTTTACAAAATTGGCAACAGCTTCGCGGATGGAGGGCGGGTGGTTTTCAAAATGTGGCTCTCGCCTACGCGCCGCGAACATTCGTTCGAAAACTATGCAACAGCTTCACGGACTGAAGGCGGGTCGTTTTCAAAATGTGGCTCTCGCCTTAGCACCGCGCACATTCGTCTTCAAAACTTGGAAGGGTTTCACTAGTTAAGGGCGGCTCCTTTTCAAACTGTGGCTTGCGCATCAGCGCTGCGAAAATTCCATTCGAAACATTTGCACGAGTTTCACGAAATTCCATGTCTAACGTACCAGAAATGGTGTTTGGAAACGGTTCAGGATTGTCAGGGCGCAACAGCTACGTTGATTCGAGGTGTTGGTGAAGTCCCAGGAGTGGCGGTCTCGCAAGATTCAAGATCGTCAAGACAACAGTCAGGTTGATTCGTGGCGGTAGTGCTCCGATAATGGTGTTTTGGCACGCTTCGGGATCTTCAAACGGCTGTCTCCAAACGGGGCACTTCCCTCAGTGGAAATGAATCCTAGGGGCCTATGAAGAGGGAGCTTTCAGAGAGGGTGTATTTCAACATCTTTGATGGGTCTTGGGTTTACACTGGTCCCCCTTCTCCTCCTCCCCCTCCTCCAACGTCATCCTCACCACCACCACCATCACAGACATATTCGTCGAGATACCTATCACATATCATCACCCTCATCGTCACCAACATCATTACCACAACAACATCCACCAGCCTCAGCATACTCCTCCTCTCCATCAACAACCTTATGATCAACAGCATCCTCACCATCACCAACATAACCATCATAATCCTCATCATCGTCACCATCACCATCATCAGCATAACTATCATCGTCGTCGCTATCGTCGTCGTCGCCGTTACAGTCATCGTCCTCGTCATCGTTATCGACATCGCCATAGTCATCGACATTGTCATCGTTAGCAGCAGCAGCAGCAGCAGCAGCATCCTCATCATCATCAGCAGCAACAGCCGCATCATCATTAGCAGCGTCATCATCATCAATATCATCATCAGCATCAATATCAGCATAATCAGCATCTTCATCATATTCCTCATCACCAGTATCATCATCACCATCATCAATATTATCATCATAACCATCAGCACCATCATCAGCATCATCATCAGCAGCATCATCATATTCATCACCAACAGCATCATCATAATCATCATCACTGCCATCACGGCGCGGGGTGCTGGTGGCCATGCTACCAACCCTTGCTGGGGGGGTCAGGTCCATCGGGCTCCTCAGCTGGCTACGGAGGCTGCGGAACGAAGTGCGACAGAACCGACTTCGCCGATGGGAGTGCGACATCCGCGAGCAGGTGCAGCAACGTTCCTGGCGAGGACGCGATTGGGCGCTCGAAGGTGCAGGGCGGTGACAGCTCCTAGCCAGGGAACCGGCCGGGGCTCAAGGGATGGCCTCCGCTGCCGTCATGCTGGACCTGTACAATCGGGAGCGGCCAAGAGGGGGGCGTCCAAGAGGGGGGGGTGCAAATCATGACCGGCGGCATGTGCGCGGCCCAGCGGGGGGGCCAGGGACGCAATGAAATGAGAAGAGGCGCCATGACATCTGGGGAAATATCATGGCCCACGCCATGATATCCACCCCCCCCTAGTCATCACCCCCCTCTTTTCCGCCCCCAACCTGTACAAGGCGTACGAGCTGGTGGACTTGGCGGCGGCCCGGGACCGAGGCGTTCTGGCTGGGCACCCTGCTCGGCTGCTGGGCTCGGCGCCGTCGGTCTGCTCGGGGCCGCGCCGCCTCGAGCCGGAAGCGGCCGTCGGGCCTCCCCGTGCGCCTGAGCGCGGGGCCAGTGGCTGGCTGCTCGCTGGCCGCCGCCTCGAGTGCGCCGTGCTCCTCGTGGCGGACGAGCACCAGGAGGCCGTGGCGGGACCTGAAGCACAAAGGGCACCTGGACCTCGCCTTCGACGGACACTGCCCCCAGCGCCCACGGGCACAGCCACGCCATCTGCGCGAGGAGGCGAAGAACTTGGGGGTCGACTTCTCCCTGCACCAGGGCGGCGCCTTCGACGTCGTGCACGCCAAGCACGGCAAACGGCTGGAGCAGTTGCCGAAGGTCATGGCGGCGCGGAAGCAATCCAAGAAGGCGGCGGCGTACCTGGAAGTCGCGGGACTGCGGCCAGCAACCCGGGCACGGCGCTGTAGCATCATCATGGGCCGACGCGCGGCTAGAGACGCTGAGGAGCCTGATGGATAGCATCCACCTCGGCAGTGGGCGGCGGCGCTGGCTGTCGCACTGCTGCTAGTGTTCCTGTCGGCGACGAAGCAGCGCATAGACCCTCTGTTTGAGCACGTCCGGGTACCCGTCCAGGCACGGGCGCGCGCAATCCAGGTGAGGGGAGGCGGCGGGGGAGGGGCGCCTGCTCGGCGGCGCCTTCGCCGCCAGCGTGAGGAAGGTCGAGGTGGCCTCACGGGCCGTGGGCCCGCGTGCGCTCTGGCCCCGGCGCGCGCACGCCCGGGATGGACCCCTCGCCAGACTAGGGTCCGTCGCGACGGACGAGGGGAGGCTGCCGAGGGTGCACGGGCTGGAGCGGGCACACGCTCAAGACGGAGGTCGCGGGGGCGTGCAAGAGGGCGCTGCGGAGGCAGGCGGCAGCGAGCACAGGGCTTGCGGCCACCTGCGAAGGAGGCGCAGCAATCAAGCACATCAAGAAGGCTCGCCGACATCCAGAAGGAGAGGGCGGCCCTCAACCAAGAGCGCGCTCATGGAGTGCCCATGGCAAGTGTGGCGACGAGCCGCGCTGGATGTCCCGCTGGCATCGTCAGGGCATTGCCCGATGGGATGCCCAGCTCGCGGGGCGACGAGGCATCTGGCATGGAGACGCGTGGCCACCAGCATCATGAGGAGCCAGCTTGCCGATGGCGAGGGAAACGAGATGGCGGGGCTCGCGTCGCTTGGCGCAGCCAACGGCGACGAGGACCCGCTCTGGTCCCGAGGCCGCGGGCCCGCGGGGCTGCAGGGCACGCCGCTCCCCCTCGGCGAGGAAGGCCGCCGAGTCGAGAGGAGGCGCGTCGCCAGCGGGCGCGGTGCGCCGCTGTACGGCGACCTAGTCGTGGACGGCTCCGCCCTGAGGCCGCAGTGGGAGGAGGCGGCCCGCGCGGGCTGGGCGGCCACCACGATGTCGCGGGAACAAAGGCTTGACCAAGGCCTGCTGGGAACCGTGCGCTGGCCGCTGCCGCCATGCTCGTGCGCAGCCGAGCTGATGGCGGCATGCGAGGCCGTGCGAGCAGCCCTCGGCCACACGCGCATCTTCCCGGACTGCGCGATGGTGCTGCGAGGCTGGGAAGCTGGACGTGGATGGTGCCTGGCCTGGGCCCGTCCCCTCCGCGAGGTCTGGGCGAGATCCTGGCACCCTGCGGACGAGCTGGAGGACGGGGCCCTCCAGCTCGCACGAGGACGTGACGCAGGGCCGCACCGCGGACTGCCGCCAGGCAACCACACCGTGGACAAAACGGCCAAGGAAGCGGCGGCGGCGCGCACCTCCGACCACGTGCAGCTGGCGCGCGCGGAGGAGGAAGCCAGCCGCCCGGCGAGCCGCATCGCATCGTGGCTCGGCCGCCGCGCGGCGCAGCTCGGCGAGGAGGCGCTGCCGGCGGCCAGACGGCGCGAGGCCACCCGGCCTGGCAGCGGCGCGGTGCTGCGAGGAGGGCTGCAAGGCAGCGACGGAGAGGGGGCCTGCAACGCGCGAGAGGCCCACCCTGCCGCGGAGGCCTCCACGGCAGCCTCCACGGGAGCAAGCGCGGATAGTCGACGGCGGCAGGGCGTGGGCAACGCGGGGGGGCTGGCTGGACCTCGGCGAGCCCGTGGTCGGCGGCATCGTCGCGACCTCGGGCGGACTTCGAGGGGCCTTGGAGGGCCGTGGACTTCGTGGG